GTGTGTTTTTGTAGTGGCTGGTAATAGTTTTTCTTTTCCATATTTAGTAATTCCTTCTGGAGCTCTTGCAAGGTGGTGATGAGTTCTCTCAGCATTTGCTTGTCTGAAAAGGAATTTATTTTATTATGAAAAGGATTTTATTTCTCCTTTACATATGAAGCTTAGTTTGGCCAGATAAGAAATTCTGAGTTGGAAATTATTTTCTTTAATAATGTTGAATATTGGCTCCCCATCCCTTCCGGCCTGTCTGAGAGGTCTTTGTTAATCTGATGGATTTCCCTTTGCAGGTGACCTGGCCTTTCTCTCTGGCTGCCCTTAACATTTTTCCCTTCATTTTGAACTTGGAGAATCTGATAATTATGTGTCTTGGGGCTGATCTTCTCATGAAGTATTTTACTGGAGTTCTCTGGATTTCCTGAATTTGAATGTTGGCCTGTCTTGCTAGGTTGGGGAAGTTCTCACAGATGATATCCTGAAGTATGTTTTCCAACTTGAAACTTGGTTCCATTCTCCCCATCTCTTTCAGGTACCCAAATCAGCTACAGGTTCAGTCTTTCTACATAATCCCATAGTTCTTAGAGGTTTTGTTTATTCCTTTTAATTCTTTTTTTTCTAACCTTGTCTGCCTGTCTTATTTCAGCAAGATAGTCTTCAGGTTCTGAGATCCTTTTCCTCTGCTTGGTCTCTTCCACTGCTGATACTTGTGGTTGCATTGTGAAGTTCATATCATGTGTTTTTCAGCTCCATCAGGTTATGTTCCTCTTTAAACTGGTTATTCTGGTTAACAGCTCCTGTAATGTTTTATCATGGTTCTTAGCTTCTTTGCATTGAGTTAGAACCTTACTCATGCTCAACCAAGTTTGCTATTGCCCACCTTCTAAAGCCTACTTCTGTCAGTTCATCCATCTCACCCTCGGCCTCAGCCCAGTTCTGTGCCCTTGCTGGAGAGGTGTTATGATCATCTGGAAGAGAAGAGGCACTCTGGCTTTTTGAGTTTTCAGCATTTTTGTGTTCTTTCTCATCATCCTCAGTTTATCTACCTTCAATTTTTGAGGCTGCTGACCTTTGGATGTAGTTTTTTGGGGGGGTCTTTATTTGTTGATGCTGTTGTTGTTAATTTGTTTGTCTTAACAGTCAGGCCTCTCTTCTATATGGCTGCTGCCATTTGCTGAGGGGTCCAATCCATACCCTACTTGCCTGGGTCCCTCCCACACCTGGAGGTATCACCAGTGGAGGCTGCAGAAGAGCAAAGATGGCAGCCTGCTCCTTCCTCAGGGAGCTCTGTCCCAGAGGGGCACTGACCTTATGCCAGTGACAGGGTTTCACCTAGTCAGGACGCACTGGATCAGGGACCTGCTTAAGGAAGCACTCTGACTGCCCCTTGGCAGAGCAGGTGTGCTGCACCAAAGGGAATCCCCCTCGGGACTGCCCAGACTCTTCAGAGCCAGCAGGCAGGAAAGACTAAGTCCGCTGAACCGTGGAGACCACAGCCACCCCTACCCCCAGGGGCTCCTTTCCAGGGAGATCAGAGTTCTCTCCATAAACCCCTACCTGAAGTTGCTGGAATTTCTGCAGAGAGGCCCCGCCTGGTGAGGAGGAATGGATCCAGGACCCACCTAAAGAAGCAGTCTGGTCACAGTCTGCCACAGCCACTGTGCTGCACTGTGGGGAATTCCTCCTGGTCCAAACCACCTATTCTCCCCAGCACTGGCAGGGGTAAATGGCAGACTGGACCTCCAGTGATGGTGGCTCCCCCAGGAAGTTGGTCATCTTAGGCAGTCTCCAGCCTGCTGCTGCTGGCTGCAACCCCAGTGGCCACTGAGCATCTGGGCAGCTCTCTGCTTGGGACCCAAGGCGCTGTTGGCATGGGCACACGAGGGGATCTCCTGATTCACAGGTTACACAGTGGAAGAAGCATGGTTTCCTGGGTGGGGTACTACAATCACTCACCACCTCCCTTGGTTGGGGATGGGAACTCCCTTTGCTCTGTGTGGCTCCCAGGTGGGGCCATTGCACCACCCAGCTTTTCCTCGCTCTCTGTGGGTTGTGCCAACTTCCTAGTCAGTCTCAATGAGAGAACCTGGTTACCTCAGCCCGAAGGTGCAGTATTCACTTGCTATTTTCATTCTTGATGGGAGCTGCCAACAGCAGCTACTTCTAGCTGGCCATCTTGACCCCTCCGCTGACCTTGCCAGTGTTTTAAGTAAGTTGTTCCTTTCCCGTGTCCTTCCTTCCTGTCTTTCTTCTTCTTATCCTTTTTCTCCTGCTCCTCCTGCAATCTTATTGCACTGGCTAAAACCTTCAGTACAAGTTGAATAGAAGTGGTAGGAATAGTCATGTTACCCTTGTTCCTGATCTTAGGGTGTTAGCATCCAATCTCACCATTCAATATGACATTAGGTTTTCCCTAGATGCGCTTTATCAGGTTTTTTTTTCAAAAACCTGGCTCCTGGATTCGTTGACTTTTTTTGAAGGGTTTGTTATGTCTCTAACTCCTTCAGTTCTACTTTGACCTTGGTTATTTCTTGTCTTCTGCTAGTCTAGCTAATTTTCAAATTTGTAGTAGAGACAGGGTTTCACCATGTTGGCCAGGCTGGTCTTGAACTCCTGACCTCAGGTAATCCACCCACCTCAGCTCCCCAAAGTGCTGGGATTACAGATGTGAGCCGCGGCACCCAGCCTCATGTATAAGTTTTTATGTGAACATATGTTTTAATTTCTCTTACATGTATATGTAGGGGTAGAATTGCTGTGTCATATGCTAAGTATATGTTTAACCTTTTAAAGAACTACTAGACTTTTCCAAAACGGCGGCACCAGTTTACATTCCTGTCAGCAGGGGACAAGGGTTCTAATTTCTCCACATCTTCACCAACACTTGTTATTATCTTTTTTATTATAGCTATCCTCATGAGTATGACAGTGATGTCTCTCTTATTAATATTGGTAACCTGTGACTTCCCTCTTTTATCTTTATCAGTCTGGTAGAAGTTTATCGATTTTATTGAACTTTTTAAAGAACCAACTTTTGGGTTAACTAGTTTTCGCTCTTGCCTTGGTTTTTATTATTTCCTTTCTTCTGCTTATTTTGAATCTTCTTTTTCTAATTTCTTAAGATAGAAACTAAGATCACTGATTGGAGACCTTTGCTGATATAGGTGTTTTAATGCTATACATTTCTTGCTATGTACTGCTATAATAGATCTCACAAATTTTAATGAATTGTGTTTCTCATTCAATTCAAAATGCTAATTTCCCTTTGATTACCTCTTTGATTCATGGCTGATTTAGAAATGTGTTATAAAATATTTGAGGATCTCCCAAATATTACTCTCTAATTGATTTCTAATTTAATTTCATGTGGTCTAAGAACATACTTTGTATGATATGAATCTTTTAAAATGTATTGACTTGTTTCCTGTCCTAGACAGAATATGGTCAGTTGAGCTCAGCTTGGTAAAAGTTTTACATGTATGTGAGTAGGATGTGTATGCTGCTCTTGTTGGCAGGAGTGTTACATAAATGTCAATCATGTCAAATTGATTGATAGTATTATTAGTTTCTGACTAATTTTATCAATTATTGAGAGAGGGGGATCCAGCCATCATTGTGGATTTGTCCATTTCTTTTTTATTTCTATCAGTTTTGCTTTATGTATTTTGGAGCTCTGTCATTAAGTACATAAACATTTAGAATCATTGCGTACCCTTGTTGAAATGATCCTTTTATCATTCTGAAATGTCCCTTTTAATACCTGGCAGTATTTTTGCTATGAAATCTACTTCATCTGACATTAATATAAACATTCTAGCTTNGTCCTGCTCTGTTGCCAGGCTGGAGTGCAGTGGCACCATCCAGGCTCACTGCAACCTCCACCTCCCAGGTTCAAGCAATTCTCCTGCCTCAGCTTCCCGAATAGCTGGGGAAGCTAAGTATATGCTACCACGCCCAGCTAATTTTTGTATTTTTAGTAGAGTCAGGGTTTCACCATGTTGGCCAGGATGGTCTTGATCTCTTGACCTTGTGATCCACCCTCCTCAGCCTCCCAGAGTGCTGGGATTACAGGCGTGAGCCATCACGCCCAGCCCCTGACATTCTAGATTTCTTTTGATTAGTGTTAGCGTAATATATTTTTTCCATCCTTTTACTTCAAACCTATTTGTATCTTTATATTTATTACAGTGGATTTCTCGTAAGCAATGTATAGTTGAGTCTTGCTTTTTTCTTTGATCTAACCATTTCATTGGCATGTTTAGATCAGGGATCAGCAATCTATAGCCCACAGGCCAAACCTAACCACCACCTGCTTTTGGAAATAAAGTTTTATTGGAACACAGCCAGGTCCATTCATTTGTGTATGTCTGTGGCAGCTGTCGCACTCCAGTGGCAGAGCGTGCCTACCTATTGTGCAGACCATTTACATTTAATGTGATTATTGATTTGGTTCGATTTTATTTTTGATGTGGTTGGATTTTAAACTACTGTGTTGCTGTTTCTTTTCATTGGTCTCATCTGTTCTTTTTTCTTTTTCCTTTTTTCAAACTGCCATCTTAGAGATTATTTTTCATGATTCCATTTGATATCATTCGTTGACTTACTAGCTATAACTCCTTTTTTGTTATTTTAGTATTTGCTGTTAGAGCATTCAGAAAATAACCACAAGGTATGACCCTGGGGTTTCTTGATTCTCTTAACCTGACTTCATCTACCAGAATGTTACCTTTCTGGCTTCTGGTAAATTGAGGAATATATGCCACAGCTTTATTCCCCTTGACTCTTCACCAAAAAGAAAGATGGAGTAAATAGGGACTTTTGTTTGCCTGTATATGAGTAGACAAAAGAGATTTCCAATATATGGTTTGGATTGAGAGTAGAATTGCCTATTTAGGATCATTGACCTGTAAGGTATGTTCTAGTGATTAATTCATTAGTTTGAGTCACTTTTTGGAACAGTGAGTGATTGTTAAGACGCTCTAACATAAAAGTCTACATCTTTGCAGGCCACCATCAATATTGTTTTTGATCGAGTTGGGAAAACAGATCCTGTCACAAGAGGCATTGAGATCACTGTGAATTATCTGGGAATCCAATTTGATGTAAGCGTTCTATCAAGATCCTGGTTTGTCGTGTTTCTTTGTTTTATCTGCTATAACTTCCCCTTGTTAAGATGGTCATTTGCATGCTTTAGATACTGGCCTCTGCTTTTGTTCTTCCCACTCTCCTGTGTATATTTTGACAGATTCACATGGAAAAAATTTTTTAAAGTTAAATATATTTGAATTTTATTTTATTTTTTTAATCATACTTGAAGTTTTGGGGTACATGTGCAGATCATGCAGGATTGTTACATAGGTATACATATGCCGTGATTGTTGGCTGCATCCATGCCCCCGTCACCTACATTAGGTATTTCTCCTAATGTTATCGCATCTCAGTCCCCCCACACCCTGCTAGAAAATTTTTATATTTTGATGTATTCACATGGAAAATTTGTAAAAGGCCAAGATCCTCTTAGCATAAAGCCAGAAGTAATGACTGATACTTAATATTGTCATGGATGCTGATTATTTCTATAGTTGCTCCTTTGCTTCTCTGTACCCAGCTACCAGTTTACCATTTTCTCCCCACCAAAGTGTTCAGATACCTCTCTCTCTGATTCTTGATGAGCTCTTCAAACACACAACTCACCTTTGATGCCCCAAGGGAAAATTAACTACTAATTAGTGTTCTGTGCTAGAACTGAAATGATTTGTGCTGTAAGAAATGATCTTTATCAGTTAATGTGGACCTTGGGCTAAAGATGGCAACTGTCACCTATGAACAAAGTTGTTTTTTATTGTCTTTTTACCTGTTTCATAATACCACTGTCATAAACACACCCTTGTCCTAATTGAAGTTCAATGTCTTTATTCATAAACCAGAGCCAATGACTGACTGAATAGCACTTTAAGACCAACGTCACACTCTTAGTTCCAGTATAGACCATTTAGCTGTGCTGTCAGCGTAAACACAGTCTGCATGCGACCCCCAGTCAGACATGCCCCTGATCTCAAAGGGACTTGGATAAAATTAAAATGAACCAGAGCAAACTGAGCCCAATCCTTGAGAAACATCTCAACCTACATGTTTCTTGATGCTAGATCAATAGTGTATCTTCTTTGAGTGTAAAGGAACATAGTGTCTTTTCTTTGAGTAGTATACAAATTGTATTAAGTATGCTTTACAGGCAAGCCACTGTGGCTTATGCCTGTAGTCCCAGCACTTTGAGAGGCTGAGACAGATCACTTGAGTCCAGGAGTTCCAGACCAGCCTGGGCAACAAGGGGAAACCCCATCTCTGCAAAATTATTAAAGATTAGCTGGACATGGTGGCATGCACCTGTAGTCCCAGCTACTCAGGGGGCTGAAGCAGGAGGATCACTCGATCTGGGGGAGGCAGAAGTTGCAGTGAGCTGATATAATGCCACTGCACTCCAGTCTAGGTGATAGAGTGAGACCCCCATCTCAAAAACCAACAAAAAGTATGCTTTGCTCTTGTTGCATTTGTGTTTTCTTCATTTAAGTGTTTTACTGGGCTGAAGTTTTAGCAATGCTTTTCCTTTTCTGTGCTTTTTGAGGATACTTAATGGCCATGTATATATACAATCTATAATTCATCTGTTTACTCCATATTTTCTTATTATTCTGAATAACAAATCTTTTAGATATTAGTAATAGCAGCTCCCTTTCAGATACTTCTTAGAACCAAATCAAACACAGGGTCCCAAAACTCCTTCTCACTATGAAGCAATGCAGGAGGAGAAAAAGTATCATGTGGTTCCAGTGAAGTGCAACTATTTCCTAGAATTAGCTGAGAACGTCTACATACTCTTTTGCTAAAAAGAGAAAGATTCCTTGAAGTCTTGGTGGTTAGGGAACTGTTATTCATAGAGATTGAAAATAATCAAGCTATTATTTAGTTTCCTTTTCATTCCTGCTTTTCGTTCATCACAGTAAAACTGTACCATTCCATGTTTTTTTCTGATTTATTATATCACTTCTCTGTACTTGCTGCCAGCCATAGTGACTCGTGCCTGTAATACCAACACTTGGGGAGGCTGATCTGGGAGTATTGCTTGAGCCCAGAAGTTTGAGACCAGCCTGGACCACATAGCAAGACCCTGGCTCTACAAAAAATAAAAACTGTTAAGGTTTCAGTAAGTCTGCTAATTAAGATACCCACTGCAGTCTTTCTGTAGGTGTTTTTGCCACTTACTTGCTTTCCTCTCTCCCTGAATCAAAAAAAGAATCAGGTAGGGTCTAATGAAGTTCCCTCTCACAGTCTTGTAAATGATCAGAATATAGTTTAGCCTTTACATCTCTCTGAACAGAGATTTAGCAGATATGTTTTCTTCCAGGTGAAGTTTTGGTCCCAACACATTTCCTTCATTCTTGTTGGAATAATCATTGTCACGTCCATCAGAGGATTGCTGATCACTCTTACCAAGGTATGTTTTATCACAGTGTTAAAAAGTACTGCTTATCATTTGTTTAATTAAATACGGTACCATGAGATAATTTTACCTAATTAAGAATTCTGCCTCCTGAGACTTTAAACAACAGTCCTAAGTATTTAAAAGACATACAACAGAATTTTTTAAAAGTTAAACTACTACATAAATTAATGATGATATATTTACATCATAAACCAATTATAGATAAGTACATTTACCAAAGGTAATAGAGTAAGATATGGGTCTATTTCGTTCACTGATGATGCCATGAACCTAGCACATGATAGGCAGGTATTCAGATATTTGAGACTAGAAGAAGAATTGTGAGAATCACTTATAGAGAAGATATGGAAGTAGGGGAGCAGAATATAGTAAGTTCTCAATGTCATCAATAGGTTCTTGGAAACAGCGGCTTTAAGCAGAACTATATACACCAAGTCCTCAAAAAAAGTTTCATTCGACATTTCATTATAATGTTGATGAGAAAAATGTGGTTTTGTTATACATCATTTCACTTAAAATCTCAGTTTCCAAGACCCTATAAATGGCACTGAGTAAGGACCTACTGAATTCAGCTGTTTTCTAATCAATGTAGGAAGACTTCATGGAGGTGGAAAGTGAGTCCTCTCTGATAGGAAAGGTAGGGATTGAGAATCCAGGAGCTGTTTAAATGGAAGAGAAGGGGCGGGGACAGGAAGGGATCTGTAGTCACCTAGCACAATTTTAGAAAGAGCGCAGGAGCCTAGTAACAATTACAAATGCTTGGACTGGGCTGGAGTGATCCGACTTAATGTTTTATAGTGATGTTAAGTCATACGTGTCACAGAGTTTCTGAAGTTTGACAGCAATAGGAATCCTTTCATGGTACGTAATTAAATTGCCTCCGGGGAAAACTATACCTTTTTCAGCAGTCTAAATTAAGTCTCATGTTTATAGCCTTAATCACATTGTTCTATACAGGATTGTGGCATGGAAGAGCCACTTTTAATCAAATGCTAACCATATTTCTCACTGTTCATGACACAGGAATCTAACCATGTGGCACACATTTATCTCCCTCTTTCTTGACAGTTCTTTTATGCCATCTCTAGCAGTAAGTCCTCCAATGTCATTGTCCTGCTGTTAGCACAGATAATGGTAAGTTTAATGAGTTAGCTTTATGTTTACAACTGTAAAATATCAGAAATGTGCTTGATACTTTTAAGAATTTTAATAATTTCTTTTGTCCTCCTCCTCACTACTTTACAGTCACTTCTGGATTAATTCATTTGACTTACAGGGCATGTACTTTGTCTCCTCTGTGCTGCTGATTCGAATGAGTATGCCTCTAGAATACCGCACCATAATCACCGAGGTCCTTGGAGAGCTGCAGTTCAACTTCTATCACCGTTGGTTTGATGTGATCTTCCTGGTCAGCGCGCTCTCTAGCATACTGTTCCTCTATTTGGCTCACAAACAGGCACCAGAGAAGCATATGGCACCTTGAACTCAGGCCTACTACAGACCGTTAGAGGCCAGTGGTCTCAAAATTTAGATATCAGAGGGGAAGAAAATGGAGGGAACCAGGGCCTGACATTTTACAAACACACACGATGTAGCATTTTTACCACGAGTAGCATCAGCCAGAACATGAGGGAGAGAAGTAACTCAAGACAATACTCAGCGGAGAGTGTCCTGTGTGGACCTGAGGCTGGTGCAGAAGCGGAGAGGAGCCAAGAAACTAAAGGGGAAAAATAAATACACTGGAACTCTGGGGCAAGAGATGTCTGTGGTAGCTGGGCCAAACAAACACATAGGATTTCCATTTTAAGGTTCACATGGAGAAGGTTACAGCTTTCGCCTGAGATTGACTGTCATTAAAATCAGAGATTGTAACACTTTGGCCTTAAGTTCATTTTATCAAGCATAGCTTGGTATTATGCTTGTGTGATCTAACATAAGTTAGCATCCCATCCCTCCTCATCTGATCCTGCCACATCATTAAAATAACCAAGAGGTTTCTGTTCTTTTCCGGGAAAGGGACGGTGTATACCTGAAATAGATTCTACCGAAAGAGAGACTTCAGGTATGTCATTTTTTCTTGATTTCCTGTTAACTTGGTATTATATCCTACATTCAATTTGGTAGTGATGTGATGTTTTTGTTTTTGTTTTTTTTTCTATCTGCCCCTCATGCTGTGGGGTGAAACCATGAATAACTTGACTGGGGGAATAAGTCACTCGTGAAAGAAAAATGTTGGAAAATTTTTAGAACACTCAGACATGCAATATGTAAGAAAATTCTGAATTTTATTACTAAGGTCTTATTCTCTATTGTATTTTGGGTTTCGAGAGACAAATGAAGGTTAAAGCATAGAAAGTGAATCCGAAACAAAAACACTATCAAGCGTACTCAAAAGGCAGTTGTTAATGGTATTTACTGTAGCAAGCACAACATTGTTACAAAAGCACAATTTTAACAGGCTTATCTGCCAAGATGCTTTAATAAGCAGCTGTCACCTATACAGAGTTATGAATCATCTTTGGTGCTCAAGGAGCCTGTAGAAGTAAGAGACATCATACAGAGAAATATAGCTAAGTTGAAGCTTGGAAGAGATCACATGCAAAGAGTCTAGCTCCTGCCTTATCTCTTCCTATGTTAACCATAAATTAGCCGACAGCAATAGCCGCCAGTAAGACAAATAATAACAGAAGACAGTCACACGTGATGAATGGTTTCCAGTGAAGGTTTTCTTCTAAAGAGACAGTAAACCGGTGGCAACTCATTCCTTGAGAAAGGATTCCTATTAAATTCCCAGAAACAACTCTCGGATAAACAGCCAAAGCTATTATTTGTTCTCGTCACATCTCTGTATCTTCAGAATTGGAAGAAGAATGTGAGGCTGTACTGTGGGCCTGTGTAAAAGAAAAATAATTTACAAATGGTAGAGTAATGAAAGCGATGATCTAGCCTAGGGCTGCATGACTTAAGTCAGGACGTAGAGTTGCTCACTAGAAGTCCGGTGACCTGAATTCTACACTTGACTGTTTTCAACATGTTGTTTGACACGTTAACAAATTCCTTAATGCCTGTTTATATTTTTTCTTGTAAGACTAGTAGTCCTGGCGTGGTGGCTCACGCCTGTAATCGCAGCAATTTGGGAGACCAAGGCGGGTGGATCACCTGAGATCCACCAGTTCAAGACCAGTCTGACCAACATGGTGAAACCGGTCAAAAAAAAAAAAAAAAGACTAGAACAGTATAGTACTATAATTGACTTCCTAAAGAGAAAGTACAGAATTTTTTAAAAACAACTGGAATAATCTTTACATAAGCATTCTGGAATACAAATCAGTGGGCGTTGTGTGTGTTCATTAAACTGAGTTTATTCAAGTTAGTATTCCACCAATTAGAATTAAATTAATGGAAAGAAGAATAATATTGAGTTAAACTGTTTTAGAGTCTTGGCTTTGCTATAAATTTCCTTTATGAACTTGGATAAGTCCGTTTACTTTTGGACATCTAGTTCATCTATGAAAAATTGGGCAAAAATATAAAATTGAAACTTACAAAGAAATTTAATCCAAATATGTATAGAATGCTTAATCTTTCCTAGTAATGAAACTGGATTACCTGTCGATTATTTTAAACAATATTGTCTATAACTGTCACCATTTACATGCTCGCTAGGAGCCAGGAACTATTCAAAGCACTTTAATATAGTTGAGAATTATCTTAGTTAACATGATCCTGGTAACAGTCCTACAAATTATCGCTGTTTTATGGGTGGGAAAACTGAGGAACAGAACAAATAAATCTGTTTTCCCACAGCTGACAAATGACAGAACCAGCATTCATACTGAGATCATCTGATTCAGGCTTTTCTGGGGGTTCCCATTACAATACTGATAAACTTTTTACTTGTTGTCAGCTCTAGACAATTGCTGTCAACTGCATACGATGAAAGAAATCTGTTGTCCTTACACTGCCTCCTGTCCTCCACAATAACTTGATTTGTTATCTTTACATTGTCATTTTCTAGTTTTTAAAGAAATCTGTAGCAAACAGACGTTAAATATACTCATTAGGGACTGTACCCACACTCCAGTGAATTAGATCACGAAAAGAAACAGACCACCACTCACCAGTTCTTTTGCCATGTGCGAGTCAGACTCCGACTCCACCACTGTTCCTTCTTTAGAATCTGGAGGGCTGTCAAGTGGATCAGCCAGGGAGGAAACAATAGGGATTTTCTTAGCTTGGAAATAATCATAGGCTTGCTTTCCACAGACTAAAAGTGTGACATTCTTCCCACTGCTCTGGATTCTATCCACCACCTTCTCGTAGGGTTCCTCCAGCACATTCACCCCATTCACTTCGATGATGATATCCTCATCCTCCAGCCCAGCCAAGTCAGCAGGGCCACCCTTCTGTACCTGTGAACAGAAGTCCTGAGTTACCAATTCAAATACAGAGAAGGGCACATCAGACTAGCTCTCCTTCAGGGGAGGGATGAGGATTTCAAAAATTTATTCTTAATCATGTTATTATTTCTCCTTGAGGTATAGAAGTTGAGAAAGGTGTTCTGATGCTTTTCTATTTATGAAAGCTATAACTTCCATACTCACATGATTAGAAGTATTATAAATCGTGGTTCAGTGTCATATTATATGTCTTCTGGGATGAAGCGGGATGAATAGGTCCCCCTTCTTCACTCCCAGCCTCAGAGCTACAGGGAGTCTTCTCACTATCAGTCCCTACAGGGTAAGGGGTGTTATGCTAGATGCACAGAAGCAAACACATATGACTGACTGACAGGGTTGATAGTGACCGTCAACTAGAGTTAAGTCAACTCACACTGTTTGGAACAGACGGTTGAGGGGCAAAAAAATGTGAGCTTATGACATACTGGTAGCTAACCTGAAGGGTATGGGACCATGACAACATTTATCTGAACCCAAGTGAGACCCTCAGTGTATGCCTTCAACGTAGTCTCTCTACTAAGCCATCAGTGGGTGGGAGAAGCTGAGACTATCCTAACTGTGGCTGTGTTTGTTGGGCTGCTGGAACCAGATTACCGTACCTCTTTGATGAATGAGCCTGGCAGACCCCGAATCGAATTTAAGTGAAAGCCATAGCCATTTTCACCTTTAGCCAGCCTGCAGAGTTTAGGCTTATGATCTCCTACTTCCTCTGTAGTATCTGACGGACTTGAGACTTTCAGAGAAGCGGAAGTAGGAGCTGGAGCCTCCTTGACAGAGCCATTGGGCAGTTCTTGACTTTGATAGTAGAGAAATGGAGAAAAATGAGCCTTTTGAAAAATAAAGGGAAAAAACATTAATCGTAACTGAATAGTTATACTTTGTTAAATGTGCTAATTTTTAAGGTATCATACGTATCATACACTCTTCTTCCAGATATGTCTGATCGTAGGCTGTAAAATTTCTCTACTGCCCCAACCAGGAAAGGTATAAGATTGCACTTTGTTATGGAGTAATATATGTACACATGTACACAAATATCCACATGAACATAAAACCAGTATAGGATGCCGTACAAGGATCTAAAAAGATGTCTAAAAAATTGCTAGTTTCTTCTGAGGCCATGATAGTGATCAATTCACTCAGCAATCTATACATAATCCCCCGCTGGGAAATGACACGTGACTGACTAGCCCAGTACCTCATGCAAAGTACATCCTTCCTGCCTTTCCTTTCAGAAGGATGGTCTTCAGAGCTCCTTAGACACATTAGAAAAAGTAAAACACAAGACACTTGTGATGGTTAACGTTAGGTACCAACTTGACTGGATGAAGGAATACCCAGAAACCCAGCGAGGCATGATTTGGGTGTGTGTCTGAGGGTGGTTCCAGAGGGGATTAGCGTGCGAGTCCAGATGAACTCAGACAAGGCACCGGTGTCAGTCTGTCTGCTGGAGCTTGGATACACTCTTCCTCTCCTGTGCTTGGACATCAGAATTCCAGGTTCTCAGGCCTTTGAACTCCAGATTTACACTGGCAGCCCCCCAGGTAGAGTCTCAGGCCAAATGCACAGAAGGAAACAAGTATACCTGCCAATCAGGGTTGATGCCGGTCGTGTGGCTGAGTCAGGTTTGGACTGGCATCCCGGGGTCTCAGGCTTGAAGACAGCCTGTCGTGGGGCTTCCCAGCCTCCACAATCACACAAGCCAATTCCTCAATCTCCTCTCACACCTGTATCTACATATCCTATTAGATCTGTCTCTCTGGAGAATGCTAATGTAACACTTTTTATCACTATCTGAAGACAAAGCTACCAGAAGAGACCAACCCACATACACTGTAGTAATTGCTGAGAGGGTGACAGCTATTAGATGGTCACATATTGTACCAAAAGTTAATTCCAAGCCTTGCTGCTTCCCAACAGCCTCCCCCCTTCCAGTCCTGACATCTGTACTTACTTTACTACGTATTGTTGTAACCATTAGACGCCTCTCAAACATCTTTTTAATTCACATCAACTCCCAGACCATCCATGTGAAGAAATGATGGTCTTGAATACCGAAGAGGCAAAGAACAGGAAATATTATTCATTTTTTTTTAATAGAATTAAGAGCCTAACAGAAACTGGCTGTTTCTGTTGAGACAATTAGAAGGGTGGACCTGGGTATGGTATGGTCCTGGATCAGCAGCTAAACAGCTGCCCACAAGCGTCCAGAACGTTTGTTGGCAATGAATAGGAAACTGAGCAATGGAAGGTGAGCACAGTGTGGGCTCTACTTCAAATCGCACTGTTTAGCAGCCTGGCTAAAATTAGATTTTGAGTCCTCTGGTTGTCATCTGTCTTACCACAAGACCACACCTCCTTCCTTTCTATGTGAGAATACCACCAGCACAGAACCTCCTACTTACCCACTTCAACTAACTTTAGACCTTTCAGTGATACGCTTGCAACAGTTCCACAATGGAGTCTTTCTCTTTAAAATATGAAAAATTATCAGATGACTCATTACATGCACAAATACCTCTGATAACACTACCTGAACAAGCAAATCAGCTGTATCTGACAGTCTCAGCTCATCTTGAGGCAAAGTGCAGTAACATTAAAACAATGAGACTGTGGCCGGGCTTGGTGGCTCATGTTTGAAGTCCCAATACTTTGGGAGACCAGGGTGGGCAGATCACTTGAAGTCAGGAGTTCAAGACCAGCCTGACCAACATGGTGAAACCCCATCTTTATT